ACTTTACAAAATTGACGGCAAAGATCTGCACTCCAGCAGAAAGCGGATGTACTATGTTATAGGAGGCATCGTTCAATTCGCTCAACATGAAATGACAACTGCTGTAGCGAAAGATAACATCTACTCGGTTTCTCGTGTGATCAATGTCGTGCCAATGTCTGCCGCTCTCGATCAGAGGGGTAAGATATTGATCGAACTCGATAGGATCGCTCCAACCCAGTTTTTGCGGGAGTTGGTAGTAGATACGATGGAGAGGCATAGTGTACGAATGCGTACTTTTGAAGAAACCAAGAAAGCACACGAGGGTTCAAAGACTCTTACCTCTAGATCCACCTCACCTAGTACTCCCTCACTCACGGACTCGCGGGGTAAATTTCCAAACGCGCAGGATCTAGACCGCCGGTTGGTCAATTTGATCAGCTTTTTGAGCGGTGACCAAGGAAAAGGCTCGAGTTAATTATCTCTGAGTATATTCCTAGAAACCAGCCTGTATATAATTGAGGATTGTAGCATTCTTTACACGTGTATCATTTTTTGTTTCTCTTTCTGAGAAAGAAGCTACTTCCATGTACATATGACCTTGTATACTTGAGTAACTGCCGCCCCGCGTAGGTTAAGTTGTATATAACATCGAATCAACTGTAAATATGCATTTACTGTCTATAAACCCCTTTACAGATGCATTGAAGGTGCATGGGGAGTGGAGATACAGCTATATGGACGTAGCAACACCAGCACTAAAGCTTGGGTAGCGCATAGAGTGGGTAAACAGGTGTCATGTTGAGGCCCGAGTAAATTCATTTGCCCAGTCCAGTAACTCGATTCCCCTTTTAAGCATACTCTGCCATCTTTTATCATCTAAAGGATTTAGGTATGTATACCGTGAAGTAGGCGCTCGATATCTTCTTGCATTGAGTAAACTCAAATCATAAATACGTAAGTATCTACTTGCTAAATTCGAGAACCTAAAGGTTTTTATATTTTATATATTCCTTTAGACTACTTACTTAAGCACACAGATACTTACCAAGTTTTTTCTACGACAATATCACATCAATATCAATAAAAGGCATCAATGTGTTGTTTCCAGTTGTATCTCCCTCCTCCTCTTCTACTTCCTCCTCCTCCATCGTCGTGATATTCTTTTTCTTTTCATCATCATCATCATCATCTCCTCGCCCTTCTCCGCCATCGCGGTCGCAGACGCAGACGAAGCAACACAGAAGCGCCCGATCACCTACGACCACCAAGTTCGCTCTTTCTTGTACTCATCATCGCCATCAAGCAGCCATCATCCGGATCCATCAGCTAACCACCTCCCAGTGGCCATCGCCCTACCGCTTATAACTACTACCTCGTCATTCAACAATCATCAACCACCACCAATCGTAACCTCTTCGCTTCTTCTGTCCCCTGGCTGGCCTTTTGCTTTGCTTGCCTGACTTCATTGTTGCGTTCGCCGCCAGTTGTACCTCTTCGAAATAACCTAGGAGATAGAACCTCTCCCTATCTTTGTCAACAATCATCCCCCTCTTTTCCTTTTCGTCCCCTTCTCCTCCTTCTGGTCATCCCCAAAAACGCTATTTTTGCGCTGGTAGAACGAAATTCAAGCTCCTTGCATCTGCGATAAATCAACCGCACTTTTCGGTCAACTCATATATAGAACCTCCTTCGCATTTTCGAAAATAAACATACCTAACAAATTACTTTCGGATATATACTCGCCTGTGTCTTCATATATTCATAAATACGTGCCAAGAGGAAGGGTCTCCTAGATTTCCGGCTAGATCTACTCTTCTTGAGAAACCAAGCGACCTTCGAGTCGAGGTCGCTCGCTCTGCTGCATTCTTCCTAGAACTTCAACCTTTGCTTGCAATTGGTGCAAACCACCCACCCGGCCAATCGCAAACCAGCCTCTCTAGCCATGTCGTGGAAACTCACCAAAAGTAAGTTATGCCTTTCTCCGCTCTGTCAAGCCCCTCCAAAATGCAAGTCAGGGGTTCAGCTCACATCCGAACCCCCGGGCAGCTCCCCATTCTTGCCTCCTCTCGTAGCTCCCTTCCCCTAGTTTTTACCCCTTCTCCCCTTCTCACTTTCATTTATTGTATTTACTCGTTTACCTCTATCTCATAAAGACTCCTTTTTCTCTCCCGCCAACTAACCTGTCCGCCAGAATTAAAGGAGACCCATCTCTCTACCCCGTCCAGTTCTACCGCCTCCAGATCGTCGTCTACCTCTACAATCACGCCGACATCTCTCAAAACAACACCGACACCTTCATCGATTGACTCAGCAATGACAGGAGACAACCAAGTCACATCCACGGTCAAGCCGGGCTTGCTTGTGTTCACGCTCTATGAAGCTAAGGGGCTAACACTTCCCAATAACCAAACCGCGCCATCTAGCCTCGGGGCTGGTGTTGCAGGATCGATGAGTTCTATGCGGCCTGCTTCCTCGCAAGCTCGGATGGCGAGCTCGGTGGCCTCTAGCTCTCGGCCAGGCACAGCTTCCTCCCGGCCCGGAACCGGTTATACCCATGTCGTGGGAATTCATCCCAGATATTTACCATATTGTGTCGTCGAATTCGACAAATGTGAGGTGTTTATTACTGCTTCTCCGAAGTCTTCGGCGCCGACGGCGCCGATCTACGACCCACCGCACAATCAATATAAATTTGATGTCTCTCGAGAGACAGACCTTACAGTGCAACTTTACCTCCGAAACCCATTAAGCACTGGCAACAATAGAGAAAACGATATACTTGTAGGCAGTTGTAAAGTTCAACCTCGATTTGAGGAAGCAGCCCAACAAACTGCCTCTTCAAAGTCGAAATCGTCGTCACAGACAGCTTCCCAATCGGGCCTTGCCGGTATTGAGTGGGTCAATCTCGGATTTGGTGGTGGTAGCGTCAGAATCGGGCTCCATTACGTTGCGAATACGGTACAAGCTTTTCCGTTCCCCAGCATCTCAATGTCTACTAACTCGCTCCCTTTATTTGTAGAACAAACCTCTCACAATTGAAGACTTTGATTTGCTCAAGGTTGTTGGGAAGGGAAGTTTTGGCAAAGTCATGCAAGTTAGGCAAGTATCCCGGCCTAAGGCAAACAAGCCACTCTTCTCCCTTACCCCTTTAGATTTTGTTGCTAATACTTGGCTGTCGCGGGCTATAGAAAGAAAGACACCAACCGTATCTATGCTCTCAAAACTATCCGAAAACATCATATTATAAACAGATCTGAGGTTACGCACACTCTCGCCGAAAGGACGGTCCTTGCGCAAATCGACAACCCGTTCATTGTTCCGCTGAAATTTTCATTCCAGTCGCCTGAGAAACTATATTTGGTGCTAGCGTTTGTGAATGGTGGTGAACTCTTCCACCATCTTCAAAGGGAGGGGCGATTTGACATCAACCGTTCTAGATTCTACACTGCAGAACTCTTATGTGCTCTAGAATGTTTACATGGATTCAACGTCATCTATCGGGATCTGAAACCCGAAAATATCTTGCTTGACTACACAGGGCATATTGCATTGTGCGATTTTGGGCTTTGCAAATTGAACATGAAGGAGGATGATAAAACAAATAGTATGGATACACTTTCTGAGACCATGCACTTCTTGATTTCTAATAGAATACAGCGTTTTGCGGCACTCCCGAATACATCGCTCCTGAGTTACTGATATCTCAGGGTTACACAAAAACTGTGGACTGGTGGACGCTCGGCGTCTTGCTCTATGAAATGCTGACAGGGCTGCCGCCATTTTACGACGAAAACACAAACGAAATGTATCGCAAAATCCTGCAAGACCCTTTGCTGTTCCCTGGACCTGAAATTGTACCACCTGACGCACGAGACCTCTTGGAGAAACTTTTAAACAGAGACCCTACAAAGCGACTGGGTGCTGGAGGAGCGGCGGACATCAAAGGCCACAAGTTCTTTGAGACAGTTGATTGGAAACGATTGGTCCAGAAGAAAATTCAACCGACATTTAAACCAGTTGTGGTACGTATTCAACCTTTTTTTTCAATCGGTGCACCGGTTTCTAATAAAATTGGCCGACCAATCTATAGGAGAATGCTCTCGACACCGTCAATTTCTCTGAGGAGTTCACAGGGGAACTTGCTGCTGACAGTGTTATGGATCCGTCGGGGCATCTTTCAGAGAGTGTTCAGGAATTATTTCACGGATGGAGCTACCAGCCACCAACAGGAATGAAAGGCCCAAATCCCGGCAATATGAGTATTCAAGATCAGTATCTCGGCAATGGAAGTGTTCAGGGTTGAAGACGTATATTTGATGGGTTGGCTTTTGGTTGTTTTATAGAGTACTATATTAGGCTGTTCCCTAAACTTTTTCTTGTCAGATCTATCTTTCTATGGCATATTCCTTTTTTTTTATATCTTTTCTCTTCATTTGCCGGGTTTATATTTCGTAGCAAATTTTAACTTGCTGGAAGAGCTGTGACAATGCATTTCTGAGGACACTGGCTGAATATGATTGTTTGGTATGCAGGTGGATTTGCGCCACCTCTTGGAATATCGTCGATTGCTTGTTTTAGCTTCTAAATTTAACGAGAAAGGTCAAGCTCAGATTACCTATAGTTGGGACCGTTCCGGATCCCGAAATGTTAGTCCAGAAGCCAAAGTCGTGGAACACTTTATGTTGGTTAGAATATATATCTGGCTAAAGATCTTTGCCTTTATTTATGACTGAATATTACAGTTAGTTTTTAATTTTTGGCAAATTGCGAAACATGTAAGTTTCCATGCGGTTAGTGTAGGGTATTGGGGAGTAAATATTTATACTTCGTATACGGTAGTGTTTGTTGAACTTTATAAAATACTGGACACGCAAAATCAGTTATTCTATGAGAAGTATTATTATCATGCGAGCATGGCTGAGAGGAAACAACCAGATTCAGGTGTGATTTGAAGGGCTTTATAGTTACATGATTTATATTGAGGTTTTCGGACCCAAATTTTGGTCTTCCCGCAGATTGGCCGCATGGCGCAATGGTAGCGCGTTGCTCTCCTAAAGCAGAGGTTGTGGATTCGAGTTCCACTGTGGTCGTGTTCTAATTTTTCTTAATTTTTTTTCCCCCTTTCTACATTTCAAAGCACAGTTGAAGGCCTCAAATATATGTTTTTAAGCTTAAGTAAGAAGTCAGTCAGTATTCAATTAGGCGTTTCTTTACTTGCTTGATGACTACAAAATTATATTTTCGGGTTAATTCCCAGGTGAGAGAGAAAACCATCTAAAATGTCCCGTCTGATGCAGAAATTAACTTTGGTAATCAGAAAACTTAAGTACTTACGTAGTTACTTTCTTTAGCCGTTACATGGTTATGTAGTGCAAAATGCTGATTAGCAAAAGTTCCTAGTACTCCAGTAGAGTCCTTATGGATTACCATTATATTATTCGGAGTACACAATCAGAATATGGATCCGAATGGTGTACGTCAAAACTATTGACTATAATTACAGACCAATCAAACGCCGTGTGTACCCATGCAGCATAAAAGAAAGGAAGAAAGAAAGAAAAGGAGGAGAAAAAAAGAACGCCATATTCGTCCGATTTAATACAATCTAGACAAAGCCTAGGTATCGAAAATAAGGAAGTAAGCAACGAGAAGACACATACCAGAGAGATAAAACCTCTTACTGAAATAAAATACAATGTGCTGTGGAAAAATTACATAAAACAAGGGACGCAGGAGAGAAGTACTGGAAAAATAGAGAGAAAGAAAGAAAGAAAGAGGGGAAGAAAGGGAGAGGGAAGAGGGAAAAAAAACCCCCCTATGCTTGAAGATCAGCAAAGGAGAACAAGTTTCGCATCAGTTGTGTGCTCTGTTGATTATATGAAAAGTTCATTTCTTCATTTCTATCTTCAGCAAGTGCCCGAATAGCTGTCAATATATTTACCGCTGAACTATGTCTTTTTATCCGACGGTCTACATTCGTAGATAGCCATTCAAAACGAATTGATGGCTCGTTCCAAAGCTTTGAGAGAAGTGTTCTGAACGGTATTGGGTATATAAATCTAGTACAATATCGTAAGCAAAAGCAATCCAACGTTGTCGACATGCATGCTAAACTTACCCAAGTTGTTCCATCGCATGAAAACGAGAAAGAAAAAATGATTTCAGGTCGTCCTCGGGGTTGAATGCCGCTGCCATAGCAAGGGACAGTTGGAAGGGCAACAAAGACCCGCGGGCGCTGTAATTCGTCGTCGTCTTCTCCACGAGCTCGTATATCAGAGTGCAACGGGTTGACATGTACTCTTTATCAAACCCGTACAGCACACTACGTTGGTGATGAATCAACATGCCCAATGCGTGGATTTCAGCAAACACATAGCCCATATCTATCTCTGTCGTAGAATCGCCCTCAAACCCAAGCACCGAAGATAAATCGGAAAATTGCTCCCAGAATGTATTGATATCCTTCAGGGCAGAAACCATGACATTGTCGTAAGACTCGTAGTCGCAGAATCCGTTAAATCGTGCGTATAATACGTTGACAACTTGCATCGTGATCTGTCGGCAGCGAGATTCTGCATTTAGAGTTAACCAATAAATGCTATCCGGCTGTTGAGCAAGCTGCGCCTGGCAAGATGTATACGCCGCATCATACCATTCCGAATCCAAAATCGTTTGTAGGCCCGCCATCATTGAAACACTAACATCAATTCTAGTAAACCACGAGAAAATGGGATAGCCTTCGGTGGTATCCAAAATAGACTGAGGAGAAAATAAAGATTCCAGAATCATGAATGCGCCTTTTCGGTGTTCGATCAGATTTGACCAGTCTCCGAGGTACTCTTCAAGAGTAGCAAGCTGAAGGACAGTCAAAAGAGTGAAAACATCAGGAGGGAGATTCTCCTGAAACGATTCTCGTAATGCTACAATTGCTCGGTTGTGGTATTCGAAGAAGGTTTCGGCGTAGGATGAAGAAGTTTTATCATTATTTCGTTCTACGGTCCTCTGGTTGATAAAAAAGTGATATGCCGCAAACGCGACAACGGAATATAGGAGGGCATCATTTTGCATTGCATATGATAGTAAGGTATTGGAGAAGAAATTCGATGCGTCACTCTTTAATAAATAATGGCGAAACGTGATGTTTTGTTGATGGTATTGAAGCCAAAAATCAATATCCGTATCGCCGATGGAGGAAGGAGTGGTCAAATCGGTCAGCGAGCCCTCAAGAGGTACACTACCAATTATCGAGTCGGAGCGACTATCATGAATATAAAGTGGGTACTGTGATTCTGTGTACGTTTCGCCGTTGTATGGCATTGCAATAGGACTCAGGCTTCGCTGAGATCGTGCTGATCCTGGGGCGGATAAAGCTGGATTCGAAGAATCAAGTGGGTATGCGCTTAGATATCGGAAATCGATAGAATGTGCGTCGGAGAAGCAGGTATCCGACTCGGCATCGTCTGGGGAGGGACTTTGTTCATGGACGTTTATAGAACTAGAGCTGAGGTTTGATTGTTTTCTCTTCGATCTTGAAACCTTTGGGTTAGATGTCGTATCTGGGAATGTACATTGTCGTCCGCCTTTGGCACAACCTAGTCGAATGGTTAGCATTTTGAGTGATTCTGCTTCCAATACTTGAGAACTAGACTTACGGTCACAGATAGGGCGTGCTTCATCACACTGCAAGATGAGAAAGGGTGGTCAATCGAGCGGACTCCATAAGGATATGTTTTAAAGCCATGAGCATTGGGAGTATCTACCTTAACTCGGCGAGCGCGGCAAGTAAAACAACCTGATCTTGTTCTCCGATGCTTAGGTGGCTCTCCAGATCCACCGAGGTCTAGTTTGATCTCGGCCTTTTGCCATCTATGCGCGGAACCTTGATCCATTGAGAAAGATTTATGATCGTAAATAATTGTGGAGTATTTCGGGAACGAGTGAATATATTCTTCGGCTGGCAAAGCGTAGCAAGTAACTGTCTCCGTCATCCCTCTTTTCTTTCTTTCTTTGGTTTATTTCTTTCTTTCTTTCCACACCCGACTCCCTGGTCCTTGCGAGTGGTCTTGGGGCGATGCTCCCGTTCAATCTGCCCTCGTTCGCAGATTGCTGCTGGTCAATTCAAAGAAGAAAAAAAGGCCTTTACTATCCTCAGATGACAATGTCTTTGGCTAGCGGTATAGCGGCGGATTGATGTGCGAATATGAAAATCGGCTGTCGGATGGCTAATGGGAACAGAATTTTTGTAATATAGCGAAGGTTGCGCAAATATGTTGATGCGGGGAAACAACGAGGGTAGAAGCAGAAGGTCGTGGAGAAATGCCGTATGAATCGAAGCTAGAAACGAGAGATCCAAGTACGTGATAAACGTAAGGCGAGAAACGAAAGTATAAATAAGAATGGTATTTTACTTGTCGGTGATGTCAGCGCGATGATTGCATTGTGAACTGTCTATTGAGGGGATATGGTGGTTGATATATATATTAATGTTATGCTAGGGCAGAAGCCAATCTGGGATCGGGTGTATGCACGATTGCATCCCAGGTACGGGTCCAGCGGCCGTGATAGGTGGTAGATGAGACAAGCATATTTGCGGCGTCAGCGGCGCCATGACTGGTGGCAGCGGCGTTGATGCGGTATGTACCTATTTGCAAAAATGAGTGACCAGGAATCGGGTCAGTGTAACGGAAAACTGGAGGAGCTAGTGGAATCTCTCTCGCATTCGTCTAAACCTGCCCAAGGTACCAAACCCGCCGCTGTGGTTCCCCTTCCGGGGACCACTTTTCACCCCTGGATAGATGCGAGTATCTGAGGATGGAACAATTAGAGAATTGATGGGCAGTGCCTGCAGTTCAACGCTGTCCAGAGATAGACATATGGTTTAAGGCTGCAGCGGATGATGGTCGAATCGGCTATTTCCTAGACTAAACCGAGGAGAGACAAGCGTGGTTTATTTTTTCCCCAAGTTTCCATCGCTATTCGCAGAATCCTTCTCGAAGGGGAATCCGTGCAGCTCCGCCGACTGGGAATGTTGATAATTATGGAAATACGCCACAGCTCTCTTTCCTCTTGCTTTGTCCATTCTCTAAGCGAACCCCGGGTGGAGGTTTTTTTTGGTCGGGGGTTCGGTCGACGCCGTCTGTATTGCTTATTTTCTCCTTGGCTCTCCCAAGAGAATAAGGGCTAGGGTCCTTCTCTGCTCGAACCGAGAGGGAACTACGATCGTGCGTCGATATTTGTTTACAGCCGCACCATGGTCAGTATCAGAGCCGGACCGACGACACCCAAAAGCTTATTTCCTCTGATCTTACCGCCTGGTCTTGAGGCTACTTACCATCACGGAAGCATACGTCACAATTGGCATGAAATATCCGGATATGCATGCTGGCGAGCGATTCACTGATCCAGCAATCAAGATGGATGAGAATGGGCGTGCGTAGTATACATGTTCTCCGGACGGGTGTACATGCACGTTACCTCGCGTGTTATTTTTTCAATGACAAATGTCAACGTGCGTGCAGAAATAGTTTCTCGATGCAGATGCTCGAAGAGGGAATGGTGATGGTGATGTCGATGGTGGTTTTGGATGCTATTATTAGCGACCGTTGGTTCGGTTCCCCCCAAAAGGACTCAGCCCCCAAATCCATCCACGTTGAGAACCCACTCCACAACAAGAACAAGGGAGGGAGGCAGGCTCAGCCAACACCAATTAAGCTCCCTGCTGCTTACATATGTTTGGAATAATTCATTATTCCCTTTTTGGCTTCGTTAAAACGTGTAATTTGTGGACTTTGCAAACCCGGTGCATACCAGCGATTGATTGGTTGTGATTCGATTATATTAATAATGACCCTGGGCTATTGCAAGAGGGGAATAAATAACTTCAGCTAAACCAGAACGGGGCAAAATGAAAATAAAAAGGTAATAGTTCTCTGGTCACTAATGGACCGAAAAAGAAATATCTTTCGATAAAAGATAAATAATTTGGAAATACTCTCGGTTTATTAGAACGTATAAGAACCAAAAGGAGAACTGTCGCATGGCTAAACTTGGGATAAAAAGAGGAGAAGGACAGATGCCAAGGACAAAGACC